TTCCTCTGCACACTGCCTGACATACCATCAAGCACCTACACATTGTCATGTTGTCCTTACACCAATGTGTCCTTGAGGATTTGAAGTCCTGGTGTTGGTCATTTTTATTCTTATCTTTCAAAAAAAATTTTTTTAAAAAAAGAGTACCTTTAGGCAAAACATTAAAATCTATTATAAAAATTAAGAAAAACAGGCCCATTACAATAGTGGGTTACTTAGAGACACAAAATCTATTTAAAGTTTCAGATGCATAAGAAATAGATGATTTACAAGATTTTCTGAAATAAGCCGACTTTGATGTATAGCTATGAAAATATTAATGCTGCTCACTACTAATGTCATGTAGGTGTGGTTAGAACACAGCCAGAAAGCTGGACTGACCCAACCGGAATCTCTCTCCCACCAACCACTGTGGGAACTTCTGGCAACTAACTTGAACGTTCATGCTTCAATTTCTTCATCTACAAAATGGAGAAAATAAAAACACGTTCTTTGTACGTTATCGTGAGCCCCTGCCTACAAAGCAATGTAAAACTTGGATACATAATAAATGGTCAAGAAATGTCCAGGGAGAAAAGACACAAATTCAGGAAACTTAATTCTTCATCTTCCCCTTGAAGCCAGGAACTTGGCAGTTACCCTAGAATCTGATCTCCCTTTCTCACTTCCTACCTATAATCCATTGCCAAGTTCTACTGAGTCTTCCCTTAAATATCTTTCGCATGCTACACCCCCTCTCCATTGGCAGAGTCTCCCCATGGTTCAGCCTCTCGGCATCTCATGCCTGGATCTCATCAGAGCTTCCTGACTGCTCTCCCTGCTGCTGTCTACGACACTGATGCGTGAGCAATGGCGCCAAACCATAAAGCTATTCACGGTCTGCTCTGCCTACAACCACCATGGAAGTTTCTCCCTCCTTTCAGCAGGCATGTTTCCAAACCCTATAAGGGGACACATGTGAGTCTTCATGCCCTGGCCCCCACCTATTTTTCTTAGCACAAACTCAGGCCTCCTTGGCTGAAAGCTTTCCAATATTGTTTATTTCCCTCATATTCAAATAGCCTCTCCTACTTCCATCATTTTGAGCATGGGGTTCCTGTTCTGCTTTGACTCCTCCTCTAAGGCTTAGCTTCACAGAGACTCTTCTGAGTCCATCAGAGTCATGTGGGGGTCTTTCTATGGGCTCTTGTAGCTACTGACTTTTCAGACCTTAGCTTGGGTGATGGGTGATGCTCTTGTCTTTATCAACTCTACGGGAGCCACTCAACTGTTGCCACTACTCTTGGTTCAGTTTTGTCTCCAACATTTGATGCAATGTGTGGTCCACAGAAGTCCCTCGATAAATGTTTGCTAAAAGAATATGTGAATACAAGATGAAGCAATGAATATTTATTCCTGCTCTCCCACTGATTAACTATGAATTTGACATCACTACACAGAAATTATATTAATCACATAATTAGTTGCTACTTAGCCCAGTATCTAGCACTGTATCAGTTACATACATAGAAATGAACTCCATTATATTTTCTTTTGTAGTATAAATTTCCTTAGGTTGCCTTAAATGTTTTTGACAAAACATAGTCAACATATAGGAACATATATTCATATATTTAAAAATCCATTTATTGAATATATTAAGGTTATTATCTTGATATTTCTCACAATTGAAATGTATTTTATATATTTCGAAGAAATGACAAAGACAACAAAATATGCAGTTAATGTGGCACGAGAAGCTAGTGGCAACAAGGGATATTCAGGGACTATGTCTTGTACTACAAGAAGGGCATTTTTGACACAAACCATCATGGGTTCAGGGGAGGATGGGTCAGGGAGCCTGCTGGAAGAAGGGGGCATGAAGAGCTCCTCTCTAGTTTGTTTAGGCCAGGGACCTAGCATCAACACTTCTAGGGGCTCTCTGGATTTCTTTGGTGTATCTTCCACCGGCTGCCGACTAAGCAGCCCGTCAGGGAAGAAGTGTGAAGGGAAAAATGGAAAGAAGCCAGGGAAAGCAATGGGAAACTGTAGGTAAGAGATATTTGTAAATACATTGTTAAGCTGTTTCAAACTACATACTCATTAAAACCTCTTTTTATTTTTCCTTTAAGACAGAAAAATTGGTGATAAAAGATGAAGGTTTAGGGTCAGGTAAGTAGCTCAGTGGTAGAGTATGTGCTTAGCATAAGCAAGGCCCTGGGTTGAATGCAAAGCACTTAAATAATCAAAATATGCACCTACCCAGAAGCATTTCTTTTAAACCAATGGGAAGATTTCTTTTTTTCTTGACACTACTTCAGTTGTATCAAGAATAAAATACATCTTTATTAAAATTCAACTAACTATAAATTCCTAGAAGATCTCTATACTGGGGGGGCACTGGTAATTACTTATTCATGGTTAGAGTATTCAACATAGACACTCTGTAACTCTTGTAACTCTCCAGTTTAAGAACCTGATGAAATGTGAATCCAGTGCTGTCTACATTATGATTTGATTATAATACTTATCAATAGTCCCTAGTGTATAACACTGTGTCATACAGATATCATCAAGACAGGTTCATCTGGGGCTTGCCCCAGCCTAAACTGCAAGATTGCCATGGTCCAAATTCTTTATTTTGTAAATCACACACTTTTAACTACTAGTAGATAATAGAGGCTTAGATACTTCCTAAACTTTTCTATTTTGTGCTTTTATGAGTACCCTCAGAACTACTTTTATGTAACTCAAAGATCCTAGAGGATACTTCTGCATAGGAATAGGAGCAACTATCCCCACAATAATCCAGAAAATTATATTTAAAAGCAGTTTTTTTTTCTATTGGCATGGGGCCTATATTATAGAACAAAGTAGCCCACAGGCCTTAATTAGGATCTTAGAAGAAGAAAAAAAAAACTCAGAGTCAAAACAATTCACTTTGTAGGGACTAAAGGTTAAATATGCTGTAATACTAAAAGAAGTCTAGAATGTGCCTTCAAAAATAACTGAATTTTTAACTCTGTACCAAAGTAGTCGATGAAGTAATTTGACTACAAACACTACACCTGGCATAACACACTGGATCTTTGATCTGTACCTATTATACTATGTTATGAGTTAATGAGGACAACAGCAGTGAATGTGTGATCCATGAGCCACTTTCTGGATCTACTTCATGAGTATTCTGAGAACATCTAAATCCGTTTGCACATTTACAATAGTGATATTGATATTTCTCCATGTTTCCTTCTGGTTGCTAAGAGATTTACATTAGACAGGCTCTGTTGTATTCATAACAAAGCATTTGGGTCCACAAAGCATTAGCTTCAGCTCAATGAGTCCTGAAACACCCTTTGCCTCACCCCTGCCCTGTTTTGCTTCCAAGTCAAACAGGGGCCCAGGCACAAAAGCTGCCACAGGACACTGCTGCACTGAAGCCTGGCAAGGCTAACAACTCTTTCACATGGTGTCGACTTCAAGGATGACATGGTATCTTTATACAAATATACGTCTCTTTCCTTATGTGTCTTAGAAGCCCGTTTATCATGGTGTGAGTGGTGGGGTCAGAGATGTGTGGAGAAAGGGCAATCAGTAGTGACCTTCCCCAAGAAAAACCTAATATGATAAAACTAGAGCAGAATGTAGCAAGACATGGCCATTTCATAACCACCAGGCTGTTGAAGGCTTTGGAATACGCCTGCATACAACTTCTTACCCCAAGTTTGCACTTTTTTGAAAATGTATTCAAGAAGTTTATTTACAAGCATATCAAAGTGGGAACCATCTATATTTAACATCTTGCAGCTAAACATACAGTCCTCCAAATTCAGTCTCTCAAAGTCTGCTCTGCCATGAGGTGGAGAGCCTTCTCCTATAGACACCAACTCGGAAGAAAATGGCAAAGGGACCAAAAATAGCCATAGTCACTCCTGTACATGTGGCAGATGAAACTTGCATGTCATTTATAAGGCACATGCACCAATGCTCAGGGCAAATTAAGAATATCTTTCCCTTGGGGATTCTCACAAAGACACATAAAAATGCTTTATGACCTGACTTCCATATTTAAATCACAGAGTTTTAGTCCATTTTGATTAATTGTCATGGAGGCAAAGGTCCTTTGGGGCCTTACTCCCAGCCAGTCCCTAGCAGTTGTATTTAAGGGAAAGCCTCCAAACAGTAAGTACTCTCTGGCTATGAAAAAAACACCACTGACCTAAAACACATTCCCTGTTCTCCCCCCCTGGCTTGGGGTTTCAGTAGGGGATCATCCATGCCTGAGCTCAGAGCTCAAGCAATCAGTGCTAAAGGCTGCAGGTCCCGGCCATGTCACGGGAATTCCTGCATTTAGGATAATCACTCACCCAGCAGGCAAATGCAAACCTATGTGGTTTCAGCTTTATTTCACAACAGAAAGTTATTTGTAGCAGCTTATTCCCATTGTACAACCAAACTAAAAGCACCTTATAGAAATGAGGGGCGCCAGGAAAGAAAGAGGAAAAGCAGCAAAGCAGGAAATGACTTTTCTGCTACGTCTTTAAGGTCACAGATCAGCCTCAGAAACGCATGCATGTGACACAGTTCCAGCACAAAAGCTCCTTTTCCACGAGACAGACCTCTAAGAAGTACAAAGCCTGACTCTCTGGCCTCTCCCTCAAAACTAAGTCACCGCAGTACATTTAACCTTGACCGGCTGTGCAGAAACTACTTTTTAACTCCCTCCCAGCACCTTCCTGTGTTGTGGAAACATGCCGGTGGTGCCTCTGTGAAGTGAGACACACCTTCCGCATAGCCCTGCAATCCCTCCCCAGGAGAAAAGCCTTGCCTGTCCACACCATGCCCAGCCTGTGGCCAGTCTCCACTACAGGGCTAGACCATCCATTCCCCATTTACACACCCGATTGACACTCTATACAGCATGTGAAAAGACCCCCTTCACGCTTCTCACAGATGCCAGGAGGAAACTAAAACAAAAAAAAGAATCTAGGCAAGATCTGAGCTCTGGCATACATAGCTACCTTTTTCTTCCGATCCCGGGACCGTTTGCGATGTTTTCTTTTTTTCTCAGTCTCTTCTTCAGCATTGATCTCTAAATCCCTGTTTTTCTTTAATTGTGAGGCTGCATGAGCCATAATGCATTGAAAAAGATCCTGTTAAAGCACGCAGGGCTTCCGTGTAAAAGGTGATATCCTCAGGCACCTTTAATCAGGCGTGCAGCAGCATCCCACTCACTGGAGAAAAGCCTTTGACTGGAAGCAGGAAGACATTCAAAAGGCAGAGATGCTGGAGAAGCTGAAGCGTTTAGAAAGCCAAACGGTGGGGTCCAGACTCCATCCTACACCTTCCTTCACCTGAGCCTCGACACACGGGTGCAGCCATCGTAATGCATTTACCGTAGTGGAGACAGCTGGGACAGAGGAAGCTGTATTATGGCTGTATCCCCTGCCACCAGCTGGAAGTGTCTAAGTGATTCCTCGGAAGGGGGAATGCTGCAAAGGATGCTCCTCCAAAGGGAAAAAATCAAGAGTCACCACACATGCAGAAGCAAAAATCCAGCACTGATTCTCCAAAACTATTTTAGAATCCTTCAAAAAGAAAGAAAGGGCTGCAATTTATACATCACCACTAGATCAGCACAGAGCAGAATTTAACCCGTCATAGAATGGAGCAGTTCCTACTTTAGTTCAACTGCTGATGGTGACAAAAATATATAAAATAAGACTTCAAAAAAATATGCTCAATTTTCCTATGGCGATCCTGACTGCATTATGAGGAAAACAATGCATGCATTGCCGGTCTCAACAGTGCGTCCTTTATGCTGTTATCAGCCCCGATGCATTCTGTGGAGAGGGCTACAGAAGGGCTTGTTGTCTTTTAAAAACAACACGCTGATTACAACACATCATACAGAAAGACGTGGAGCATGTTGGTGTATGGAACAGATGCCCGATTCATAGGAGGTTCCCCAGGACTCTCCTCTCATGTGGTCCCAGGGTCAGAGAACGAGGAATCTGAATCTGCTGTAATCAGAGTTCGAGTCACTGAAATGCAGATTTGGCTTTCATGTTAGGGTTTGCTTCAATCACCTTACTATTTTTGCCACCTGAGTCCTCAATGACTGCAGCCTCTGAATATTCATTATGTGAAGTGAAGCAGCAGCAGTGCTCAAAGCCTGCCGGTTTGTCTTCTGCGAGGATGCACAGACTGGAAAGAATCTAATAAGTGGAAATCATTTACACACACACACACACACTACTCGGAAGAAATTGCTGAAATATCAGAGTGGGCCTAAAACACGTGGACCTGAGGAAAGAAACCCCAATTTCACCAAGAAAACAAGGAGAATAAAAAGATGATGTTCCACTGAAAAGACTTATTGTGTGTACTTAGAATTCTGAACAGCATAACCTTGGAGGTTGATGTAAGCAGCTTTGTGGGGCTGACTTTAAGGTGTGCAAAGGGTGGAGCACAAAGTCCAGCACATCCATGAGGATGCGGCTGGGGTTCTCTGGAGCACAAGTGTGAACCCTTGCCTGTAACTTCTCTGCGTTTCTGATGTGGAGATCAAAGATTTTCCCCTTTCTTCCTTTGTAGGGTCCTTTCCAGTTCTGCCAGGAGTGATAGAAAACAGGAAGGGAAAGACTGAGGCCCCACAGCATTTCAGTCTTACTTCAAGTGGACTGTACACTTCTGAAAACTATGTGCAAATCACTCTGGTCATAGTTACTGAGGGCCTACTACACGCACCACTGCTTATGTGTGCTTTCTACAGAAACTGACTTAATAAATAGAGTTCTAGAAAGTTTCTGTATTGCCTATGAAACCACTATTTGATGAAAAAAGGAAGGGGAGGGGAGGAAATGAGAGTGGAGAATTAAATGTAACTCAGTCAGATGTGGGGGCACACTCCTGTAATCCAGTAGCTAGGGAGGCTGAGGCAGGAGGATCTCAAGTTCAAAGCCAGCCTCTGCAACTTAGCAAGGCCCTAAGCAATTCAGGAGACCCTGTCGCCCTGTCTCTAAATAATACACACACACACTCACACACACTCACACACACACACACATAAAGTCGGGGGGTGGGGGAGGGAGGGCTGTGGATGTGGCTCAATGCAAAGTGCCCCTGGGTTCAAACAAACAAACAAACAAGAAAAGAAAAAGTAACTCAGACTTAAAAGTGAAAAAACCACATTGGGCCTGCTGTAAAAAGTAGTGTTTCTGTACCAGGATATTTTATTGTAAAACTAATAATTGGGGTAAAGAGTTAAAATGAACACTTTCTGTACTTTTGTCCCATGTAAACCACCCTATACTTTTGAGGAACATTCATACAACTTCTTTTCCTTATTCTCTGCAAGTTGAAGAGGACAGCCAACTAGAAAACTGGCTGCTTTCCCACTGGCTCCTGAACCTTTTCTTTTAATTCCTTATAGACACTAATGATTCTTTAAAATGTTCTGTATTTATAAGTACCCTTGTACAAGGTAACATTTCCATCTGAGGCTGGCAAAGCATTTTATGTCTCATTGATCTCCATGAGCAAAAGCACACCTGAAAAAACAGGAAAATGAGCCACCGGTATATTTCAACCTATTTAGGTCTAGAAAAGTTCTTTGCTTCCCCCGAGTAACCAGAAATTGAGAATGCACCATGACTTTTAGGACACCATGGTGTGAATTTTCATCAACTCATATTTTCCTTTATATAATACGTTAAAAATAAAAACTAAGGCATAGCATGTTTATTTGGATTTTCTTTCTTATAGAAAATTATTATTCTTTGAATAAGTCTTCCATTTCTAAACTGAACTCCAAACAGAAACTCTGCCAAGGAAGTCGGCTCTGTGGTCCTAAGTTTTTATTATCAGAAGACTAAAGGCTCAGCCCCTTCTTCTCCATCCAGCACACATCCTGTAAGGAAACTCCTAGTCTCTTTCTGTACTTATTTTCAATACACAGACATGGACCCAAGAGACCTAGGGATGCTGGCTCCCCTACCCTAAATAATATATGATTTTATTATTTTCAATAACAAAATAAGGCTTTATTATGGCTGAAATTGAGGCATTAAAAGAACTTTTAAAAACCTTCATTTCAAACTTTTCTATGTAAGTCTTAAAAGTTTGATGTCTTTGGGGAGACCATAGAACTGGTACAAATCTTCAAACCGGAAGTGCCTCTCTAGCCAGAGCATACTTGTGTGTCTGAGGAGCATGGCAGGTCCCCAACAAGAATGGGATGCAGACACCGCATTGTAGGAAACAATGATACAAAGTTCGGTTACTCTAGAGCAACGTCCTCAGTCCCACTCCACAAGGACAGCACTTGCACAGGATGTGGCTATCAGCCTGTGGACTGTCAAAGCTACTGACAGGAAAAGAATAACAATTCTTCAGTAATTTCCCAGGGGGAAAAAATTTTATTCTTATTTTATAAAAATCCCAAGTGCAAGAATTCCCAAACCATCCTTTCAAAATATAGGACAGGAGTGACCTTTTACTAGCCAAAGAGGACTTTCTTAAGTTGTACTGGAAAGGCAAGTATAATGAGTGCACCAGTAGAGCTGCCAGGCTGAGCTGAAGGCATGGTGTCCTGGAACCCCATGACTTTGGCTCCCCCAACATTCCTCTGAAAGGTTGCTTTGATGAGCATAATTTGGAAGCCAGCACTCTGCAGCCAAGAGTCCCAGTCTTCTTCTTGCTTGTCCCTTTTCACTAGGAGCCATGCAAAAAGTGATTCCTCTTAAAATTTTCATTTTATTCCACATTAATTCTTAATTCCTTGCTAGGGATAATGAGTGTCATCTAGAGTACTTGCTGCCTATGCATCATTAGACCATGAAACTATTACAAAAAAATAAAAATAAAAACCACTTTCAAGTTTGGCAAATGGAGTCGTGGTTATACCCCAAATAATATCAAATCCAGGAATCAAACAATTGTGACTAAATATTCCACTGAAAATGAAGCCAAAGCAATTCACTGGGAGGTTTTACAGTCTTTCAATACCAAAGCCAGAGAATTTTCTTCCTCCTCAATTTTTGCATATACCTCTCCAAGATTTCATGGCAAGCTTTGAAAGTTAGTTCAGCCTATTGATAACTTGCCTATGCTGAGTTGTCATTTCACATTGTCAATTCAGCTCAACAATGTGGAGACACAAAAAACAATGCACGCGATTTCTATGGAGATGACACTGCCACTTGGAGATTCTGAAGTTACAATAGCTGTGCACTTTGAAAAGATTTGTAGTGGTGTGAGAAGTGGAAGGGGAGGTGATGTATAAATTAGTGGAAATGGGGGAAAGTGCAAAAATGAAAAAAGAGATGACTTTTCTAAGCCTACTCCAGGTTCTCAGTGACAAAGTAAGTATATGTTTTGATGGAAGGAAAACCATTTTGTGCTGCACCCACTCCAGTTTTCTCAGCAGCAGCAGCAGCACAGCCTCACCCTAAGAGACAGTCAAAATATTATTCCTTCACCAAGAAAAATGGATCTATTGTCATTTCATTAATTTTGGCATCCTAGATAGAGATGATATCAAGAGACCTTGAGTAGTTTCTGAGTGGTGTGGGGGACAAGAAAGAAAACAATCACTAAATCTGTCAATGGTTATAAATGAGAAGCAACCTGGGGGACTTCTGAAATCCTAGTCACAGGAGTTTTTAGATAAGACACATGATGTCCTTATTTAAAAAAAAAAAAAAAGTGTGGCTGGATATCCCCAAAGGACAGAAGGTCCACATTCCTTGCAGGGAGTGGTACCTCTGGACTCATGAGCACTGGCCTTGGTACCATCTGTCTTAGCATTCAATCTGTCTTCCTTCCCCAGAGTGTGCTGTTCATCCTACTAACCAGTCTGACCTCAGCACTGGAGAGAAAGCCAGCTGGTCCCTGGCACGCCAGCTGCTTCAGTGACCTCACATGGGCAGATGGGGGCAGACATGCAGGGATGGCCTCCCCATGGACTCTCCGTCACACCCACACTGGTCAGCAGAGAGGAGATCTTTCTCTGTATGTGGAAGGCCCTGAAGATACATCCCTGATTTCTGCCTCACCTGGGAGAGTGGACTGGTAGTGCTTGGCAGGGCACTGAGGAACAGCTCACACCAGGAGTTAAATGCAAACAAAGCAAAGGGGCCATGCAATTTCCCCCTTGAGCGCCTTCTTCTTAGAGAAGGCAGAAGCAAGGCCAGCTAGCTCTGAAGATATCCCCTCACTACACCTGAATGCACTGCTTTAAGGTGATAGGAGGTGCTGGAATTTGGAAATAAAAGAACATATCTAGGAAAGGTTTATTAAAAGAAATAATAATTTGCACTAACACA